ACAATACTAATACAGGCACAAAACAATGTAACAGGGAGAAGGCAAAGGGACAGGTAGGGTTCAGGAGAAAAGGAAAACAGAGGTAGGAGAAAGGGAAAGAGCCTGGGCAGATGGTGACCTTAAGCCAAGCAGGCAAGGCACACATTATTATTGCAGCTCAGTAAGCCTGAAGAAGGCCAAAAAAGGCCGAAACGTAGCGCTAAGGCTGAGCTTTGCTAAGGCAAGATGCCTAATTTTTTGAACTTCCACCACCATTTGGTGGTGGTTTTAATTGGACTGTGGCCAGTGGGGGCCACTGGCGCCCTCTGCGAGGCCCGTGCACTGCCACTACTGGGGCCTTGCCCTGGTGGTGGTTCCGAGCCCCACACCTAACCCTAGGGTGGTGGTGCCAGGGGGTCAGCATGGAAGGGAATGTCCTGGAAGTGATGGACCGTGCACCATCCTCTCTCCAGTTGGAGAGGGGATTTCTGTCCCCCACTCCTAACCCCCTAACCCTAACCCTATTAATGAAGTAAATAAACTTAACTTAAACTTAAAACTTGAACTTACTCTGTATTTTCACAGTTATACATACTTCTGTGATACGATTATTTACTGTAATTTTACAGTATCCATTTGGAAACTTTGCTGCCAGTGCTTTTACCATTTGTCAATTTTTTTTTATACAGTGCAGATCCTACACATCTACTCTCTATAGTCAGAGAACTCAACCTCCTACACATGTCCTCTCTACGGTCAGAGTACAGCAGTATTGCAGGTTATTGAACGTCCTGAGCTGGTTGACTCAAAGCAAACACATCCGACTCATCAGTCTTACTCACACTATGACCTTTTGGTCAATAACACCCACTTCTCACACCCCCAGAACCACAAACAGAGACAGAGCCACACACAGAGACAGACAGACAGACAGACAGACAGAAACAGAGGGACAGACAAAGACAGACTGAACACGGACTCTGAGACTCTGCTTGTTGGAGATCTAAACCATGGTGAAACTAAAATCTAAACCAGCTGCTGTTCTCCTGCTGCTTCTGCTGCACAGCTGCCTGGCCGACCACGGTACGTCTACTTCACCTCATATCGTTCTAAATGCTGCTGAGTCGTAGTTCATGTACCCCCACCACACCTCATACTTCTTTAAGTACTGCTGAGTCGTACTCATAGTGGTAGAACTGCCAGTCACAAATCCAGAAGCAGTAAGTTGTGGTACAGTGGCAGCAGCAGTAGACATATAAACTATTACTGATCCTGATAATCGATATTCATATAGTTCCTGAAACTTCTTTACAGAAATAATTTATAGATTATGTAACTTTATTATTTTATTGTACTGTAATATTTATATTCTCTGATAATTTACACACCTGCCTCAGTTCACAGTATTTTTACTCGCTCACTCACTCACTCACTCACTCACTCACTCACTCACTCACTCTCACTCACTCACTCACACACACACACACACACACACACACACACACAATCCATGGTTACAGATCAAAGTATTAAAGGTCGTTGACATCATAGCGCAGGAAGTACTATAAACCGCAGTATTAGTATTTTTACTTTCAGTAAAGTATTTTATAGCTTTCTGTTTAACAACTGACTGACTGTTAATGAAACTACACTCACTGATCAGTTTATTAGGGACAGGCAGCATAATCTCAAAGTAATTACTCAGGTCAGTACATTTTGTTCTGTTTCATTTTAACAGTTAAATATTTATTGTTCTCTGTCATCAGCAGGGTGGAAAAAATAATACAAACACCTCTTAAAACACCAGAAGCTTTTATTCAGTAACTTATAATTGTAATAATGTACTGTCTGTCTGTCTGTCTGTCTGTCTGTGTCTCTGTACCTGTCTGTCTGTCTGTCTGTCTGTCTGTCTGTACTTCTATCTGTACCTGTCTGTACCTGTTTCTCTGTGTCTCTGTCTGTACCTGTCCATCCATCCGTCCATCTGTCCATCCATAGTTTTCCTGAAGAGCCAGTTGGCATCACAGGTGTTGGTCAGGAGCCGTCGAGCCAATCAGCTGTTTGAGGAGGTGAAACCAGGTGAGTTACCTGAACGACACTCGGCTGTATTTCACACATCACCAGTTCAGAACTCACAGAGTTCATATCTGAGTGATTTTTTAAAGGTTAACAAGTAAACATCACACAATACTTTAAAGAAACGAAACATACGTTGAATTTAATTTCATCTAATTTTCCACCTGTCTACCTGATCAGTACTTTTACTTTACTTTTTGGTTATTTTAAAAATATTTTGATGTTAAACTTATTAAACTGAAGTAAAACAGGGCTTTTAATTGCAACAGAGTTTTTCTACACAGTGATATTACCTGCAGGTCCTGGACCACTGGATATTATTATTTTTATTCTAAATGTTCATTGTTGTTGTTGTTGTTGTTGTTGTTCTTGTAACTTTTTCATCTTTATTATTTATGTGAATTATTTGACTACAGGCAACCTGGAAAGAGAATGTGTGGAAGAAATCTGTGACCATGAAGAAGCCAGAGAGGTGTTCGAACAGACAGATAAAACAGTATGACTCCATTTCGTTCTGGTCCCATTCACTCTGTTGTTCCAACAGTAAAAGTAACTGTAACTATGACAGTAATTGTAACTGTAGTAATGGTTTAATCACTCCCAGTACTCGTCGTACTGCTCAGTTTAAACTGTCTGTCTCTTCTACAGGAAAACTTCTGGGAAAAATATCTGGGTGAGATTTTCTGCAGCTTCACCTCACTGACAGGAAAAATACGACAAGACACATTTATTTATTTAAAACTATTAAAATCATTTCTCTGTGTGCAGATCATTTATGACTTCACATTTAAACATTGGTTTAAACTTAAAAAATGGTTTCTGTATGCAGATGATTTATGTTGAACTCTTTAAACTTTAATCTGATCTGTTCTGTGAACATGAACAAACATGAACAAAGTCCACAACAGATCAAACAACCTGAGGTCACAAACATCCAACTACCTGCCTGTCTGTCTGTCTGTCTGTCCATCCATTCATCTGTCCATCCATCTGTCTTTTTCTCGGTCCATCTGTCCGTCTGTCCATCTCTCAGACTGTAAGGGAACTCAGCTGGTAAGAACACAGAACAACATCGACATCATCAGACAGTGTATAGAAGGTAATTACAAACAAACCTAATGTAACCTTATTGTAATAAAATGCTCATAAACACTGACAGTATGTGTGTGTGTGTGTGTGTGTGTGTGTGTGTGTGTAGGTCAGTGTATTTCTGGTACAGGAGTTAAATATGAAGGAAACATCAACATCACACGGTCAGGAAAACAATGTCAGTACTGGACGAGCAGCTTCCCACATCCCATAATAAGGTAACCAACAGACACACCAACATCCCATAATGAGGTAACCAACAGACACACCAACATCCCATAATGAGGTAACCAACAGACACACCAACATCCCATAATAAGTCCCCTACGGAACTCTCATAATGTCAGATCGTAAATATAAAGAGAATAATTTAGACCCAGTTCAGATTCAGAGCCACAAACAGGAGCTTTGAGACAGGGTTATTAACTGTCTCTCTCTCTGTCTGTCTGTCTGTCTGTCTGTAGGGAGTACAATGCTTCAGAACCAAACAGCATCCTTCACGAAAACTTCTGTAGAAACCCAAACAACAACCCAGATGGACCCTGGTGCTTCACCAAAGACCCCACAGTCCAGAAGGAGACCTGTAGAGTCCCCACCTGTGGTGAGTCTGTATTAATCAGTCAGTCAGTCAGTCAGTCAATCAATCAATCAATCAATCAATTTTATTTATAAAGCCCAATGTCACAAATCATTTGCCTCAGAGACTTTACAGGATATGACAACCCTCTGTACTTTGGACCCTCACAGCTGATCAGGAAAGACTCCCCCCAAACAAACCTTTAACGGGAAAAAAATGGTAGAAACCTATCACCTGACACACACCTGTAGAGTCCACACCTGTGCTGACTCTGTATCACCTGACACACACCTGTAGAGTCCACACCTGTGCTGACTCTGTATCACCTGACACACACCTGTAGAGTCCACACCTGTCCTGACTCTGTATCACCTGACACACACCCGTAGAGTCCCCACCTGTGCTGACTCTGTATCACCTCACACGCACCTGTAGAGTCCCCACCTGTGCTGACTCTGTATCACCTCACATGCACCTGTAGAGTCCCCACCTGTGCTGACTCTGTATCGCCTGACACACAACTGAGAAGTTCCCACCTGTCTACAGTCCTGGTAGTACCTATGTTCATCGTGTTCGTACCAACAGTCTCTGATGAGGTCTCTGTAAATCCAGCGCTCCTACATCATGACTTGTACAATGACACACGTCTTTTCTTTGAAGGTGAGGACTTTGTCCCGCCCACGTTGGCCCCTGAACCAATCAAAACCACTGAGTGTGTACCCAATCATGGCATCGACTACGTCGGCAACCTGGCCGTCACCCTGGGAGGACACACCTGCCTGCAGTGGTCATCTCCAGAGGCAAAGGCCCTTAGCATAGACAAAGAGTTCATACCCGAGGTCACTCTGCCAGGTAACAAGTGCCGTAATCCCGACAACGACCCAGAGGGCCCCTGGTGCTACGTGGAGGTCGCCGGTAACGTGACCATCGACTACTGCGACCTGGAGCTGTGTGGTAAATACAAGTAACTACTGCAGAGTACTACTGCTGATCAGTCAACTGCCTCTTACCTGTCTGTCCATTGTCTGTCTCTGACCTGTGTCTGTCTCTCAGAGGATCTGTTGGTTGACTGGTCCACTGATACAGAAGGAGGACAGGAGCGCTCCGTCCTGACACCTGCCAGAAAAAGATTTTTCAATCCTCGAACCTTCGGACAAGGAGAGAGTGGTGAGTTGTGACGAGTCAACGAGTCATCTAACTAAATCAACTGTCTGAGTGGTTACTAACCAGTTAGCAGGAACTGACTGGTTTAACTGGTTTACTGACTGATGTACTGGGTGTGTCACAGAGTGTGGACAGCGCCCCCTGTTTGAAAAACAGAACAAGGTGGATGCAAAAGAGAACGAGCTTCTGGACTCATACCGAGAAAAACGTATTGTTGGGGGCGATGACGCCGAGGTGGCCTCAGCACCATGGTAACAACACTAAAAACAATAAACTGTCACCATGCTGTAAACAACACTTGATCAGGAGAAACATATAAACCAAAGTATCTACCTGTGTATATATCACGGTTCACAGGCAGGTGATGCTGTATAAGCGCAGTCCACAGGAGCTGCTGTGCGGAGCCAGTCTGATCAGTGATCAGTGGATCCTCACCGCTGCCCACTGCATCCTCTACCCACCCTGGAACAAGAACTTTACCTCCACCGACATCCTGGTGCGACTGGGGAAACACAACAGGGCCAAGTAAGACTTCCTGTCTGTGAGTGTAACGGATATCTGAGATCAGAACACAAGAATATTAATGATGAATTTCAGGTATGAATACGGCACCGAGAAGATCGTGGCCATCGATGAGATCATCGTCCACCCAAAGTATAACTGGAGGGAAAACCTGAACCGTGACATTGCCCTGTTGCACATGAGGCGGCCAATCATATTCACCAATGAGATCTTCCCGGTCTGCCTGCCCAGCAGGAAGGTCGCCCAGGCGTAAGAGTCACACAGACAGCATCAACTGTTTGACCCTCATGTTGTACTCTGTGAGTCATGTTGTTTTTGTCTGACAGTCTAATGACCGAAGGTTTCAAAGGTCGAGTGACGGGCTGGGGGAACCTGAAGGAAACCTGGAACCCTTCAGCCAGAAATTTACCCACACTCCTCCAACAGATCCATCTACCAATCGTGGACCAGGACATCTGCCGCAGCTCCACATCCATCAGGATCACAAACAACATGTTCTGTGCTGGTAAGGTTTTTATATCTACTGTTCTATAAATGAGATGCAGCAGAGACACTGTGAGGAGGACAGTCTGTCCTCTGTCCACAAACATGTCCTGTGCTGGTAACATTTTTGTTTCTACTGTTCTTCTATAAATGACACGCAGCACAAACACTGTGACAGTCTGTCCTCTGTCCACAAACACCATGTTCTGTGCCGGTAACCAGGGGCGTAGCACCAAATTCTGGGCCCTGTACACTCTCAATGTCAGTGGGCCCCTATCCATGCCAGTGCACAAGGCGCGTGAGCAAAAAAAAACAAAAAAGAAAAAGAAAAAAAAGGGGTATTTATTTAAAATAAAAAAGCATAAATAGGGTTTTAAGCTACACCCTTCCTTGCCTTCAGCATCTGATGCAGAGCTCTCTACATCTACAAGAATAAAGAATTGGTATTAGCCTCTTAACATACACATAACCCAACCTACTTCTTAAAGCAAGCTCACTTTGTATTTCTAGAGCCATTTCAGTGCAAGACAAACTGCTAAAAATAATGAAACATATGGCCAAGCATTGCTTATTATGTTGACAGATTGTCTTTTAAATGGGGCTCATTTTTGTGTTGCTATGGGCTGAGCTCTAAGGCTGTCAACCAAACAGTCATAACTGGTAAGTATCCACAAGAGTGTGCTTGACAGCGCTTGACATCTACCATTTAGAACAAGTACAAAGATAATGTGAAAAGTTGCAAATATGTTCATTAAAAGTCAAACGTGAAGTAAACATCAGATATGCTTTCCTACAATAGATGCTTAGACTAGCCTAATTATTTGCTATAACACACAGTATTCA